TGAGATCAATAACATGTTTCTTCTTCCCCTCAAAATAGTGTCACAATAAAACGTGTATAAGCATCGAACCTCTTACATCAAGTGTTTCTGGTCTTTTTGTTCAAAACCCCTCTAACTCGAAAGCCCGATAACTCGAAGTAATTTCAATTTCCGTTGGCAATTCGAGTTACCAGGGTTCAACTGTAGAACGAAAACAAATTATGCTTTATTTACAAACATGAATATTAACTCCGAAAAACTCTCTCCTTTCTTAGTTGAAATTAGCTCAGCTAGTCAGCTATTGTATCTGTTGCATTCCTTTTTCATACCTGCCAGGGACCACACCGTCACTTGGCATCAAACCACGGGTACTAAGTAACGGTGTGGTCCCCGGCGGGAAATATAACATCGTCCTAAACCAGATGAGCCCACGACATATCAGCGGCATCTTGTATGAGTATCCGCAGGTTACAACGTGACTTCCGCTTATTCTTGTTAAAGCGTATTTTACAGTGTACTCATGGAATAGGAAGTGCGTTTGAGCCAGTTTCTGGCAGATTTGAACAGAAAAGCGGGTCTTTTGTTCGAGTGTAATGACATTTTGATCGATGGCGCTGTTAACGAAATGTTTGGCTGGTTCGTAAGTTGTCGACCTGGTTTCGGTCGATCTGATTAATTGACAACACCCCTAAGGCAATACATATCATCGTCCCAAACCAGATGAGTCCATGACACGTCAGCGGAATCGTCACCCGTTCCTCACGTTGTAACCCAGTAACTACTGGACTTGTAATGACGTTGTAACCAGTCAATTAATGCATTGTAATCGGGATAGACCTATTGACAAATCTAGACCTGGGGAATCGTAGCGAGAGTCTTCTATTTTTCTGCTCGTTTCCGGCGAATCAAGAGACCGTGACCTGTGTGACTGACGATAAAGCGTCGTATTCTTCAATATTTTATTGCGAAAGTATTCTTCCCATAACTTGTACAAACTAATTTCTGTCTAGATCACATATTTAAGAAAAAATCTAGCCTGTTATAAAGGCGTTAAAAGGAGGATCGACACTTAAATATGACCGGCCCAATAGTTTCGGTCGATGTTATCCCCTGACCTCGCTATCATCGACCAAAAGCAGAATCAGGTCAAAGATCATTTGCATAACTTTGCACTGTAAAATCTTTCGATTGGAACAAACATACAGTTCTTTTCTGTTTGTAATAAATTATCTTTACGTTTTATTTGACCATGATCTCTTGGTTTTTGTTCAACATCTTATTTGCTACTAATAAATATATTTGCCAAGGGGTGGTCCAGTTAATATTTAACACTCATGCATTTATGTTTTGCGGCTCGCGGGTAAATATTGGCGGGAAATCTAAATGTTTGGTAGAAGAACAAACATGGCTGATAACAGTACACCTTGGGCTTCAAGATGGACCGTACAGTTTGACCCTTATTCCGGGTATGTTAACGATGAAAGCAGCGCTGACGAACTCATAAAACAGTACGAGATAGCTACGACGACACGCTTCACTGTATTTAAACAAACAGGAGGATTTTCAAATTGCAGTAGGCTGGGTAATTAAGCTCACATGTAAAGATTTACAAAATAAACCATACTGACAGTAAAGTAAAGTGAAGTATAACTTTATTTAGACACTATAGGTATTTAAAGCCGGGGACGTGTGAGATCGTGTTATTAACATGAAATATAGATAAATCAAAATAAAAAAAGGGATTTAACTTTTTTCCAACAATTATTGATATCTTAAGAATACATGTACACATCATTATTCTTCGGTTTACACTGGTCAGTTAGACTTTCAAAATTAACATGTAATTAAAATTAAACTTAGCTTCAAGTGTCAATTTACTGTGAGCCTGCAGCAAGAGTTGGCAAGAAATGCTTAATTAATTAAGATCAAGCTTAAAGTGTCAAAACCCTACTCAGTGCTATTGACACACAGCTGCCAGCATCCCCATCCATTACACCAGTCCTTGGGCTACATCTAGGTGGGGTAGGCTTGATTTTGAGGCCCTCCATTTTAAGCACCCATGTGTACATATGTACGTATGTGTTTGTGTACATGTATCGTATTGCTAACTTAGCTTGGTTCCTCTTCTCACATAAAAGAAAATGCAGATAAAAATGCTAAGAACCACCGTATACAATGGGCTGACTCACAGGAGATGACAGGATGCAGACTAAGTTTTGATGGCATCCCATTCCAAATTGTGGGGGTCAAAGTTTTAGAATGCCAAAATGGGCCAGACAGATATAAGGCACTCGAAAAGAAGGAGGCTCAAAAGAGACTACAAAAAGATGTAAGCATGCATAATAATTAACTAAATAAGAATGTAAACAAGATGATATTATTACTTAAGGACTCTCAAAGAGGATATCATATATAGGGCATTACATAGTTATTGATTTACCTTCACCTATTTGCTCTTAAGCTAACAAGGTGGTAAGTCCCAACTGATTTTTCTAAGCAAGTTGGTGAGCACTCACCTCTCCCTCAGGGCTAATAGCAGGCAATAATGTTTTCTTTTTTACCACTTGCAAGTAAAAGGACATATCACATTTTATTTGTTAAAATAAGCAAAGTCGCAAAAAAGGACCACTGTGACTGCAGTTTACAAGGTAGGAATCAAGTACTATTTTAAAGGATACTTTTCATTACTTCTAAGTTTATTGATAACTTGACTATTCCCATATGACTGCTCTATCTAACAATCCAATAAATCTATTTGGTTTTAGAAGGAGAATGCTGATCACTGCTATAACAACACCAAACAGCGCTTTATAGTACAGGATACGAAGAAATGTGACTGTCCAGCAAAGATCCACCTAAGGAAAATAATCAAGTATCCTGAAAATAAGGTCAGTTTATTTTAATTATTGAATAAGGGTTCAGGGGGCACTACCATTAACATGAATGATCACTAGCCTAATAAAGGGCGCTTAATCCTAATGGGCCTTGTGTTACATGTAGGTGAAGTGGACATATGATAAGACAACCTGGACATTTCGTTGTGCAGAATTGAAACAAATTTACCTGAAATGGAAACAGAGTGAATATTTTAGAAACCAATTTTTCAAATATTATTTTAATTAAAACATTGTATCGTTAGATTTCAGAGAACACAAAGAGTAGAAGGGAGACAATGTCAAAATTTCTGAGAACATCCCTAGAGTCAGAAAAGAAGCAAACAAAAGCTACAGAGGAGCGTATTTACATATTACTTCCTAAACCTACGGATCACTTATTTCACCCCATGGGGAGGGTAAGTACTTGGCCATCAATTAAATTTTTTTTGGAATCAGGAAACTGAAGTTTGGTGAGGAATTTAAGGTGACTTAACTTCACACAAATCATCAGTCTACTGTAGACTGTGCTGCTTCCACTGTCATGTTGAATATATATAAAGAATGAATAAAGATTATACATCACAACAGAAGACCACTAAAATGTACTACATGTAGAGCTTCTTTAAGCTACACTGGCACTCATTCCTCAAACTCAATGTCAAGACTATAATATCACAATTTTATCAGAGAGGGATTTGCACTGGCACTGTTTTAATGGAATGCTGTCATGGACTTTTTAAATGGATTTTCTTAAAAAATACAGTGTTCAGTACTCTGTAATTATAACATTCTGTAACTATTACTGATGTCGATAGTAATGTTGGTATAATTTGCATTATTATTCATTGAAAATATTCCCTGTTTCTGAAAGGTTAAAACCACTCACATATTTCATCATAACCAGCTGCTGTTGACCAAATTTGGAAAAAAATTTTCTCATATTGAACCAATTATTTTTCCTTGTTCTTGAGTTTGTGGTGCTTTAATATCATGATGAAAATTGCCTGTAAGAATTTCATGGATGATACTTATAGACCCACATTTAATCCATAGGTTATATTCTACAAGTTCAATTGAAATACTTAACATTTAGGAGGAAGCTCAAGCTGAATATTCGAATGTGGACCGTCGGTGTATTGTCATCACACAATCATCTTAAAATTGTGAAATATGTACATCAATTTATTTAATACAAGTTTGAAGGCTTATCATGTGATAAACTTCTGATTAAGTACCTCTTCAGAAATTTCTGTACATATAAGTTTAACACAAATGCAATTAAAATTAATACTTATCTTTCTCGAGTATTTTGATGTCATTGTTCTTCTGCTCACTTGGCAGCTATGAGGCTTAGGTCGATGGTGTGTAGGATTTCCAAGAGGTGTTGTCAATTAATCAGATCGACCGAAACCAGGTCGACAACTTACGAACCAGCCAAACATTTCGTTAACAGCGCCATCGATCAAAATGTCATTACACTCGAACAAAAGACCCGCTTTTCTGTTCAAATCTGCCAGAAACTGGCTCAAACGCACTTCCTATTCCATGAGTACACTGTAAAATACGCTTTAACAAGAATAAGCGGAAGTCACGTTGTAACCTGCGGATACTCATACAAGATGCCGCTGATATGTCGTGGGCTCATCTGGTTTAGGACGATGTTATATAGTGCTTTCCTCCCCGGCGAGGCAAAGTTTGCAAAGGAGGCAGGGTTAACAAGCTGGTTTTCAACGATTATGTGTCGTGCTGCTATCTGAAACATCTAAACTGGAAATTTTTGAAGCAAATGGCGGCTAAGCGTCGGTTTCACGGGGAAGATTGAATTTCTAGTGAATTGAAATGAAACTAAAGCATATGTCTTGGATTCTGCGTTGGATTTTTTGCTTCACCACTACAGTCACTAAAGTATATAGGATCGGACGTTCGAGAATGGAATGTGCGGCCTTGAGCTTCTCTTATTTAGTAAACCTAGAAATGGATAACTCGCTAAAATGGCTTCTTTTCAAAATAGTAAGCTGTCAGATAACAAGCGACACACTGTGGAAGTAAAGTGAGGTATTTTTTATTGAGTATCTGACTGTATTTTTATATTCCTAAGAGAGGTCGTAAATATTCCCATACAACTCTCAACTCTTATTTCGCAAGGTGATCATCTCACAGCTGAAGCTTGGGCCGCCCGTGATTGAAGTCGTCTGGTAGCTCATGTGTTTGGGGAACGATTTTCTCAATTGATGGCATGGTTACTTTCATTGACGATTGATCCTCATGATTTGCTTCATGGCAGGGGTTCGTGATTCTACCAGAACATGTCGCCCACTTAAACTGCAGCTACGTTCCGTTATAGCTGGAATAAGGACATTTGATATTGCATTCTCCAGAGGTTCCTCAGTAGAAGATCCTGAATATCAGGCAGTGTTGGAAGGAAATAGATCCAGCGGTGTTTCAGGCCAAAGGTGAAAGCAACATAGCATTCTTGAGGCTGTGACAGTGCAAACTCGGCTAGCTTGGCCACTTCTTCTGTCCAGCTCGTGACTTTGTTACTGATGTATTATAAGAATAATAATTGTATTAACCCTTTAACTCCCATGAGTGACCAAGACAGAATTTCTCCTTACGATATCAATACAATATCAAGCAGGATAGTGATGAGATTAGAGAAAAATATAAATAAGGAGATTATTAGTTGATTGAATACCAAATTCTTTGAATGAAATCTAAAGAATTGTATAAAATACAGTAAGAAGAATTACTAATGAAATCTTGGCAGTGAAAGAGTTAATTTAGTACTGAGAGACTTCACTTTAAGATGATAAGAGGTACATTCCAATAAAAGTGCCTAAACAAAAATCATAGGTTGCCATTCTTGGTCATTCAAGGACACAATTTAGTTCTTTATTTGTGTTTTCGCAAAGTGGCATTTTTTTTCATTCCATCCAGCTAGGTGATGATAAATGGCTGCATTTTGCTGACATGTCTTTAAGGCTTTTTCCTTCCAAAAACTATTGCTTGATAAATATGATAAAATAACTAATCACTCTCACTGAGTGAGATTAGGGTAGCAAAACTGGTCTATAAGTGGTATGCTTCTGCATGAAATAAGTTATTGAAAGCAATTGTGGAGGTCAGTTGAACAAAGGGGTAAGTTTCTGAAGAAACTGTGGTGCTGGGTCGGTGGGAGAGTATAGCAGTGTAATTTAGTGTTATCATTTGAGTTGATAAAGTAAATTGGCCACTGTAAAGAGTTTAAAAGCTTTTGAATCTTCCACAGGAGACAATGGAGAAACAATCAGAATGAATGCAACATGGGAAGATCCTAAGGTACATGTAACTGTTCATGTAATTTCAATCCTGTCAGATCCTCCCTAAGATTGGTAGAACTGAGATGCACTTGCTTGTTTGTTTTGTTGTTTGTTTTATTTGCTTCTTTCAAACTTCAGCTCCAAGAATTATGGTTGCAGAAAAGAACCTCACTTTTGCATTTTTCTCTAAAAGAGGGAGTTGGATTTTGGATAAGAATTCCTTCTGCTCCATAATTCCCATAATAGTAAAAATAAAAATTTCATACCCTACACTGAACTAAAATTTAAGAGCTTTACTAATAAGTGATAGGAAAAGCTAATGAATGTTAAATTCAGATTGCAGGGATATTTTCAAGAGAGAAATGCATGGCAATAAAATTGGATCACAAGAGGTAATTACTCAGTAGAAAATTCAATTTTCCTTTGGAATGCAAAATTTATTTATTTATAATGTAATATTTATCAGTAACCAATAGATGAACTTGTATACTACTAACAGACACCATATTAACCTTAAACAGGTCAGGAACACTTCAGTGTATCTTTTGTGAAACTTATTTTGATTAGCTGGTTATGGTTAAATGGTTAGCTGCAGTACTCTTAAAATGCGATCTTTTTCCGCATCTAAAATATGTATTTTTGTACAGTCTGTAGATTACCACTTCCTGTCAGGTGTAAGGTTTTTTTTTTGGTTGAATAATAGAAGTTCTAGGAACCGATTCCCCAAGTACACTGAAAAGGAGTTATACTGAAACTATTTACGAGAATGGTGTCTGTAAGCAGCTGCCAGAGCAGTTTAAGAAATTGTTATGTTTGCTCATGGCTGCTAAAGAATAAAGAAAAAAATTTTAATCAATTAATCCTAACCCCTTAAAGTGAATGTGGCTTTTTGAATGTTTAAATATAGAGGTTACGTTTGAGTTGAGATCTCTGCATATGAGAAAGCATCCCCAATATGATTGTGCATTTTTCAGTTTTTAGGGAAATGATTACACTTAGTCTGTTTTGCTTAGCAACATAATTCAGTCAGAAAATTTCATTCTTTTACTTTCTTCTTGATCTACTCTAGTGAGGACTGCAAGCAGTTTTCTAAACTTTGTATCCTTTGAGAGCATAGAAGTCACATGTGATTGAAACTGTTGTAGATGTATCTAAAGAATTGTAGACTTTTTTTTAAAGATACACATGTATGGGAAACACCATAGGATTATCATATTCTTTTAAGTGCCCAAACATTGCTGAATTGCTTGGAATGGTTAATGGTAAAAACTGCATGAAAATATGCTTTAATTTGATACATTTACAAATCACTCCTAGTTATATAGTCAATAAATGTGTACCTCTCAGGTGATTGTTAGGCAACCAAATGAGAGCTCAATCAACTCTTCCAAAAGGTAATTTAGTGATATTATTATTATTGTTATTATTATTATTATTGTTGTTATTATTATTATTATTATTATTATTATTATTATTATTATGTCAATTGTTGATATTCACATGCAGATCCTAAGAAAATTTTAATCATATTGCTGCTTGCAAAAATACTTTTTTGATGCAATATAAAAGAGGCCTTAACTTGCCATCTTAAATATGTAGACCCTCTAGTTTGCATTCCTGCCACATATTTTATTGGTGAAAGTGGTTTGCCTTTAGAGGTTGTTGGTGGAAGTCTTCCTGTGGACCAATTTGTTACAAAAGCAGAGAAAGTTTTTGAGGTACTGTAAATATTTTTATTCAGGATGTGGAATACCCTCTTACTCACATTTGCACTATTTGATGGGTAACCATTGTAAACTCTGTATCAATGGAAAGGTTACAAAATGTGCCATCTGCCAAAAGCAGGTTTCCTTCTAGCTTTATATAATTATAAATTGTCTTGAGGTATTCAATTTTTTGTTCCCATCTAGTTGTGCAATTTTTATCTTTTTGAATTTTGGGCTTTATTACATTTTAGACTCACTTGAGGTCAACTTCAATCAAACCTGTATCAAGCACTGTGTCTCAGAACAGTGAAGCTTCTATTTCAAGTGAGCAATCTTCAGTAAGTAGCTCTCCTGCAGCAGAGCCTGCATCACAACAGAACCAAGAGGTTTCTAACAGAGAGACTGAACCTAGACCAGGACCATCAGAGGTGGGAAAAATAGATGAGATAGTTCATGTAATAGTGTAGTTTGATTGTTCAGGTGAGTGTAGTCCTGAGAAAGGCTGTTGTGTAACTTGCTCAGTTCCATGTTAAAACTGACAACCTTTATTTATTAGGAAATCATTATGATTTATACAAAGTGCAGTGCTTGTACTTTTGCTAATTGCATAGTTGTGCATGCTGTGCGAGTGCAAAAGGTGACAGTTATATAGTGCAACAGTTGTTGGTAGTGGTAACAGAAGTTTCAACATCATCATCATCATCAGAGTTAATTCCTTGACTCTAACAACAGTATTACATGTTACCTCTAGGTTCAAACCATTTACTGTAGAGATAGTCAACATATGAAGTTGTCATTCAGTAGCATGTTGCTTAATTGGATAATTCAATTGAGAAGGCCATGAGCTACAGCTGTACTTCTTTTTTATTCCAAGGTTTGCAGATTTATGGCATTGTCAAGGATAACAATGCCCTTATTGTCTATTTTGGAAAATTTTCAAGTGAAGATGGTTGGTTTTGGCCTAGGCTATGATTGTACATGTATTTTTTAGACAAAAAAATCATAAGTGAATGGATTTGAGGATTGTAAACTTAGGAAAAGTATGAACCACAGCTGATAATTCATTTACTGTTTGATTCTTAAGAGCCTTATGGCAGAGACCAACAGAAGGAATTATTAGAAGACAAAGTGGAAAGGTTAGTCATATTTCTGTTGAAAAGTTTTGTACAGGTCACCAATCTACACAATGTACATAAGCTTGAGAAAGTAGCCTGTGGTGCTAGGCTTGATACAAGGAATGGTTGTGCCAGACCCCTAACAAATGTCAGCATCAAACTGCCAATTTCTTAAATAAATGCCAGATGCATTTAATGGGGGCCCTGGCATTTAATCAATGTCCCGGTGTTTATTTGCAGCTGAGGTCACATAGACCAGTCATAAGTAAGTAGTAAGTAGACACAAACAAGGAGGACGTTGTCAACATTGCTGTTTATAAAGGTAATTAAAACAAGAAGGACATTGGCAACATTGCCGTTTATAAAGTTAATTAAAACGAGGAGGACATTGGCAACATTGCTGTTTATAAAGTTAATTAAAACTTTGTGCTCATATCATTTACTTGCTCCTACATTATTCACATTTTGTTTATGCTCTGTTCGTTAGGGACACAAATCTTGATTGCAACTTGGTACACATGCCATATGTTCAGTACCATAATACTGTAACTTTGGGTAATCCAGGCGCATGACAAAGGGAGAAATTGTCCTGCACTAAGAAACTGTTCCTAGGTCTCTGCAAATCAGTAATAATAAATCACCTTGCAAAAATGGCTTAAAATTTCATTTCAGTAAATTAACTGTAGACCCCTATTATGGCCTCACAAAAAAGCAGGTCAAACCTGCCATTTTTAAATATAAGCCTGCTGCATTTTATCAAGAAAATATGGTATTTATGTTTTAGTCTCAAAAGTAAGAGCAGTAGGCAGTTTGGAACTCTTCTCCATCTTATGGTTGATTGTGTCAGATTCTTGAGTAAGTTTTAGCACGAAAGTGTCAACAATTATTCATAAGTTACTGCTACTATGAATTTTAACTCTTTCTTCCTGTTGTTGAGCAGAGCAAAGCAACTTATTGAACAGAAGAGACTTGAGAAAGAGGAATCAGAAAATCAGGTGAGTCCAATTTTCTAATCTAAATACAGTTGTAGTATTCTTTTTGTGGTTGTTAAAACTCATGGTGTAGCTCTGCACTTTGTAAATTATGGATGAATTATCTACTTGTAAATTAATCTTTTTAGTAGATATTTCTGTGAAATACACAATATAGTCACTAACATGTACTTGTTTGAACACTTTCTCAAAATGAACGATGTCATCAATCAATCTCCAAATATTTTTCTCTCTAAGGCACAAACTTATCATTATTATTATTATTATTATTATATGAAGTATAATTGTTCATATTAAAATAATTATTAGTATTATTGTTTTTATAAGTTTGTTCTTATCATTATCAATCCTATTCAAGTTCTCTTAAGGTTATGTTTTTATTTTGTCCAGAACTTCATGACTTTTTTAAGCAGTTTTTTCCCTTGAAGCAAAGCTTTTTTGTTAATAAGCCAACATCAAGCTTATCTCATTTTCTGGAGCATGACATCACTAAGAGTTACGAAATTCCCTTAAAAGCAAGGTAGTCCATTCCAAGATTCTTTCATGTTTCCCAGACAGTACCCCTTTTAAATGTTTATAAACCTTGGTAGAGAGAGATACTGTGAGAATATATTGTCTTGTTCTTAAGAACACCACAAAATGACCTTCTGATCCTTTCAATCTGAAGTCCAGTATCTTACTTCTAGCCAATAGGCAATTATGTTTCAGTTTTTAATGAGTTCATAATAGTGAAATAAATGTTATAAACCACTCACTGCTTTAGCACTATGATTTGGCAAAATACAAATTTGTTATCTTCACTAGTGAAGAGATGATAAAGAGAATTCTTTGCATTCTAGGAAACCAAGAAGAAAGAATTTGATAGACGTCATCAGGGACAAGAACTTGGTAAAGCAAAAAGGGACCGAGAAGAGAGACAGGCACAAAGTATTGTGAATCAAATCAAAGAAGACAGAGCCAAAGAGCGGGCCCACAGGGAAGCTGTGCGGCAGCAGATTGCTAGAGATAAAGCAGAAAGGGAAGCTAGGCGACAGAATGAGGTGCAGGAGAGACAGCGTGCTCAAGCTGCCTCACCCTCACCTTCAACTACCATGACTGGAGGCAGTGAGGGGTTGGGAAAGACTGAGTGGTAAGTAAAGTAGAAATACACTGAAACATATCATTTGTACAGGCTTAGAGTTCTTGAATATCCTTCTCTTACATTGTAAAAGTAATTAAAGTACATGTGATTTATAACATCAGCCATGATTACTTTAGTTATACATTGTTGTATTGTATTTTTATTAACTGCTCTGTACATGCAACAGAGACTTTTTGTTTTTACTTAGCAATTCTACCCGGCTCCAGTTTCGTCTTCCAGATGGCAGTTTGTTAACAAACTCTTTCTCACCTGATACTCCTTTGGAGACCATCAAACAGTATATCATCTCTGTGAGTAGTTAATTTTTACAAGAACACATATGTGTATATAATTATAAAAATGAGCAAAATTTAAGGAGCTTTCAGAGAATTCTATCAAGATAAGTAGAGGAGAATTCAGTGTTAAATGTATTGGAACTATAATTGTTAGATTCTTATTTTAGGGGCCAGAAATAGTTTTCTTAATCTTCCTCCTAAACAGACTAGATATCTCAATTCTTAGGTCTGCATTAGACTCTTAATATCTGCAACCTTGCCTGTGTGTGTCCAATCAAAGATTATCTTCAAGACCATTTGATTTTTGTCAATTGTCCTCACAGCCATCAACCCCTCCAAAACATAAGTGAGATCTTTTGACCAAATTGGTAATAAATTTACTGAAAATAAGTTTTATTAATTATGTGAATCTTTTCAATTGTTCTCAGCAACTAGGACCCAGTTCCAGCTCAATAACAATGTTCACCACCTACCCTAGGCGGGAGCTGACTGAAGAAGACCTGTTAAAGAGTTTGGCTGAGTTAGGTCTGGCACCAAGTTCCACTTTAATTGTAGCTGTGGTAAGTTTAAGATCAATATTAGGTTGTTTTTAAAACATTCATCCATTGGAAAGAGTGAATATTTGTCTCATGTGAACCTGGCATATGGCCTGGCTTACCAATGAGTTTTGTTTAATTTGTGTAACTCAGAGTTAGGTAATGGAAGTTAAAACTTTAGGAAATCAAAGGAAGGTTGTGTTTTAGGAAAGCTTGGGTACCACATGCAACCAACTTTAGCTTTTTCTTCAATCCCAATAAATGTTTAATCTTTTGTTGTGTTTGTTTTTATTTTTCATTGGTTAATTATAATTGTATTTGTGAAAAATGTTTCCTTAAATTCTTTGAGTGAATTTCCACATTCTCCCATCATTCAGAAATTTCCCAAAACTTGAAAAGATAAATAAGCAATACTAAACTTTCATTTTACAGAGAGGAAGTAATTCCCTCACTCCATCTGGGACTTCATCATTCCCTGAACTGTTGTTATGGATTCTTTCACCTCTGTTCACACTGATTAACTTCTTGAAAGCTTTCCTATTTGGTAGTCCTGATCAGTCTAGAGGGACACAGAATCCTCCTTCACAGAGAACAAACAGCAGCACACAGTCACAACCATCAAAGTGAGTCTTTTTTTGGTGGTTTGCCTTTTGTAAACTGCTGCATAGTTTGTTGTTGAACTTTATCACACTAGTTTGGTTGTTTGCTTGTTGGTGTTAAGAATGAAATTCTTTTCTCAAGAGCCAAAAAAGAAAAAGCAAAAAGAATTCCCAGATATTAAGTTTGAAGAATCTTATTTACAGTCAATTTTATTGTCCATTGTGTTTTTTGGCTTGTTGTTAGACAGATAAAAGTTTTGTAGAATTAATCAACTTGTGAATGCTTGAAAGTACACATATTTTTCCACTGGTGACTGTACTAAATATTCAATTATCACAATTTGCAAATTTCACAAAAACTAAGATGGTCTCTTGTTTTAGATTGTCATTTCAGCAAGTAGAATATTGCTTTCTTGTGAATTTGGGCTCATAAGCTTTTCTATCTTATGAGAAAAACACAGCAAAAACAAAAGGTAATGAAAGAAATGCTCTTCTAGTCAAATTCAGTCATGAACAATATCTAAACTCCTTCCTTCCTAAGGTTACATGCCAACCTTCTTGCTGTTTTTTTTTTGTTTTCTTCATGGCAGTTCTGGTGTACGTCATAGAGTCCCAGGTGGTGTTTCATCTGTAAAGAAAGAAGGCGGAATTCATCGGCTTCACAACAGAGATGATGAAGATGACGACAATAACACATGGAATGGAAACTCTACTCAACAGATGTAACTGAATGATCCAAGATTGTTTAAAATATATGGAGAGTTTAAAATTTGGTCTCTAATTTGGAATAATTCTTTTAAAATAGATTAGAGTGGAGATGAGCTTGGCTGTTAGAGGGATGAGAGTCTGTGACAAATAATTCATTGATACAGAAACAATGTTCCTTTAGAAAGGAATCAAACATTTGTGTTAGCTCATTTTTGTATACAGTTCTATGTTGTGACTAGCCTGTATTGTCCATTATTCACAGATTGTCAAAACAATTGAAAAAGAAAACAGTTTAAAAGTTTTCTTCAGTGTGTTCGATGGTTAATGGCAACAACAATTTTCAATGTCTTGCCCAAAGTTGTAACTAACTTCCAGTTGTCATGACAGTTACAGTTAAAATGTCAAAGGATATCACTCCCCAGTCCCTCAAGAATGCAGAGAGAAACATGGGACCAAGACTAAAATAAAACATACTATTTAAATGATATTGGAGTGAGTGGTATTGAATAAAAGAAAAGGATGTTTTTAAATAATCTACGTAAATGATGTTCGTTTTTTTGAAAGCTTACATGTATCTGTCAGGGACCTCTGTTAGACCTGATGATGTAGTGGTTTTTCTGTTTTTTTTTTTTGGTTTTTTTTTTTTAATAGCAATAAATGATACTAGAGACACACTATACTAAAAAATACCCAGAAAAAATTATAAAGTAAGCCGCTGGGATAAAATATCACGTCCCAAGGAAAACCGAGGGAAAAGGAGAAAATTTCATTTAAAAAAGACAACAACAACAGCAAACTTGAGCTGCAGTTTATTTTCATTTCCCATCTTGTAATTTCCTCTTATCCTCCTTTCACTATTCCCAGGCTCCAAACCATAACTATTGAGCTGACCAAATACTTTCAGTTTCGACTTTCGCTTATGTTCTAAGCTGTTGTAATTCGCCGAATTCGTAGTTGGTCAGACGGTTGTTGAACTGCTGTGTAAAATCTTGGAAACTTTGATCATTCGCTTCAGGATCGTAATCTTTTTGCCTTTTTGCCTTCACAAGTCACTAGAAATAATGATGATCAATATTCATTTCACAGTTTACCGATTGTTTGTGCTTGAAGCTTGCCTCTGACGGAACAAGTGAAAAATAACAATAGTTTAGTTAGAGTGCACGCGAACTGAATCCTTTAGTAAATAATGTAAATCAAGCTGCTACACAATCGTAAATTGGCATGTTCATATTTGAAATTCCCGGCTCTTGTGCCAAAAATGCACATCAATGAAAGGGTTAAGTTTCATGTATTTTCACGCAATGGCCTACAGCTTGTTGTGGTTATTTACAGCGGTGACTAATTCAGCAATGAAGTGTTTTATTGTTTGTCTCATAAAGTAGTCACTTTCTACTTAGGATCGCACTGTTGATGCGCCTCACATTAATTCAATCAGTTCGCTCTGCTCAAGAGGCACTATCCCTATAATAGTCTCTAAAATCAGTTATCTTCTGAACAAATTCTTCGTCCGTGACAGGCTATAAAGGAATACGTTAGGTCACGCGATGTTTCACCACTCCGGGCGTAGACTAAACGTAACCGTAACTGTCGTTTCCATATAAGGTGATTCGAAACAACCTTAAGTTGATTCGATACATCGATTTAGTCGATCCAATACACGTAGAAAGTCGTTTCGACACAACTTCAGTCACATGATGTAGATACAAACCAGTATAGGTTTATCATCCAAACATCTAAATTAATTATTTATCCTTTTTAAAATGTTTTCATTTCCCATCTCGTATTCCACACTATCCATTTCCTCTTATCCTCCTTTTACTATTCCCAGGCTCCAAACGAATCGTAACTATTGTGCCGACCAAGTTCTTTCAGTTTCGACCTCCGCTTACGCCCTGATTCATCGATTTCGTAGCTGGTCAGCTGGTCGTTCAATTGCTGTCTGACAACTTGAAAACTTTGATCAATCGCTTCAAGACTTCGCTTCAATCTTTACTTACGGTGGCACTAAGGTGACTGCTGTTTCACATCAAACCCAACAAAAGGGCTAACATCTTTCACTGCCGTGATAAACAGCGAGTCCTGCTTGAGACATTTCCGCCTTCACTACTGGTGATTACACGATGTGAGATCAAGTATTGTGGTAAGATTACTGATTCTTTTTTCTGTTTATGTCTGCTGATGTTATTTTCGTGCACCTGGTGGCTCACTATCAAAGATTTACTGGACAAGTGCAATACATCATTGGGAATTGTTTTTCAAATGGGCAATAACAGTGTTAATTTGATTTTGCCTTTACAAATCACTAGAAATTATGATGATCAAATTTCATTTCGCAGTTTACCGATTGTTTGTGTGTGATACATGCCTTTGTTGGAACAAGTAAAAATTCACAGTAGTTAAGTTAGGGTGCATGTGAACTGTATCATTTAGAGGAGAATGTAAACGAACTGCTACGTAATCGTAAATTGGTGCGTTCGTATTTGTATCTCGACTCTTGTACCAAAAATGCCCTCCAAGGAAAGAGTTAAGTTTCATGTATTTTCACGCAATGGCCTACAGCTTGTTGTGGTTATTCACCGCGGTGGCTACTCCAGTAATGAAAAATGTTATTATTTGTCTGATGAAGTCGTCAATTTCAATGTAGGATCGCAGTGTTGATGCGCCTCACTTTTATTTAATCAGTTTACTCCGCTCAAGACGCACTCTCTATACAATAGTCTCCTAAATAAGTTATCTTCGTAAGAAATTCTTCGTTGCTTGTTTTCAGGGAAGGCGACTGAGCATTGTGCATCGTTCGATCTTGCATCGGCGACCACATCAATAAAGCAGTGTAAGTAAAAGAGTAAATGAAGACCATAGTGTTCTTGATGATGTAATTACGCCTATTTTTAGAATTGAAACCAAAAACATCAGTACCCTAGAATTAATTTTTCTTCCTCGTTTCTGTGCGGGATGGAATAGTTTCTGGAATATGTAAGGTATTTTTTACCGATTTCCTGTCGTGAATGGCGCAGTTTTCCATCCAACTACGCATTTGAAAACGACACATGTTGGGTGATGCATGCAATTTCCGTGACAGGCCTTAATGTGATATGTTAGGTCACGCGATGTTTCACCACGTCGGGCGTAAAATAATTGTAACCGTTTACGGTCGTTTTCATATAGGGTGATTCAGCACAAGCGGAAATTGATTCGATACATCGACTAATTCGATCCGATACGCGTAGAAAGTCGTTTCGGCACAACTTCAGTCACATGATGTAGATACAAACTTGTAAAGGTTTATCATCCAAACATCTAAATTAATTATTTATCCTTTTTAAAATGTTGTTATTTCCCATCTCGTAATTCCACCCTGTACATTTCTTCTTATCCTCCATTCACTATTCCCAGGCTCCAAACGAACCATAACTATTGTGCTGACCAAGTACTTTCAGTTTCGACCTCCGCTTACGCCCTGATTCACCGATTTCGTAGCTGGTCAGCTGGTCGTTGAATTGCTGTCTGAAAACTTGGAAACTTTGATAAATCGCTTCAAGACTTTAATCTTTACTTACGGTGGCGTTGAGGTGACTGCTGTTTCACATCAAACCCAACAGAAGGACCAACATCTTGCACTGTAGTGATAAACAGAGTCCTGGTTGAGAAAAATCCGCCTTCGCTACTGGTGATTACACGATTTGAGATCAAGTATTGTGGTAAGATTACTGATTCTTTTTTCTGTTTATGTCTGCTAATATTGTTTCCATGCACTTGGTAGCTCACTACCAAAGATTTACTTGACAAGTGCAGGACCTCCCTGGGAATTATTTTTCAAATGAGCAATAACAATGTTAATTTGATTTTGCCTTTACAAATCTCTAGAAATAACGATGATCAAAATTCATTTCGCGGTTTACCGATTGTTTGTGCTCGATGCATGCCTCTGTTGGAACAAGTGAAAAATCACAGTAGTTTAGTTAGGGTGCATGTGAACTGAATTATTGAGTAAAGAATGTAAAACGACCTGCTACGTAATCGTAACTTGGCACGTTCATATTTGAAATTCCCGACTCTTGTAACAAAAATGCACTCCAAGGAAAGGGTTAAGTTTCATATATTGTCACGTATTGGCGTACAGCTTGTTGTGGTTATTCACGGTCGTGACTACTTCAGCAGTAAAGTATTTATTGTTTGTCTGATAAAGTCGTCACTTTCTACGTAGGATCTTACCGCTGATGCGCCTCACATTAATCCAATCAGTTCGCTCTGCGCGCTCAAGAGGCACTCTCCATACAATCACAAACAAACAGACGAACAAACAATAGTCTCTGAAATCGGTTATCTTCTCAAGAAATTTTTCGTCACTTGTTTTCTAGGAAGGCGACTGAACATTTTGCATCGTTCGATCTCGCAGGGGCGACCACATCAACTAGGCTCTGTACGTAATAGAAGACCTTCGTGTTCTTAATGATGTAATCACGCTTATTTTAAGAATTGAAACCAAAAAAATCAGCATCGTATCATTTATTTTTTTCCTCGTTTCTGTGCGGGATGGAATAGTTTCTGGAATATATAAGGTATTTTTTCATGGATTTCTTGTCGTGAAATGGCACAGTTTTCCATACAACTACGCATTTGGAAACGACACATGTTCAGCGATGATTGCAATTTGCTTGACAGGCTGTAATGGGAGATGTTTGGTCACGCGATTTTACCACGCCGTGCGTAAAATAATTGTAACTGTTTTCGGTCGTTTCCATACAAAGCTGAAGTTGATTCGATACATCGATTTAGTCGATCCGATACACGCAGAAAGTCGTTTCGATGCAACTTTAGTCACATGATTTCGATACAGACTAGTGAAGGTACTCTGTATCTCTGTAAAAGCGGGTCAGGGCATTTCGCATCGGAAAAAAATTTTGCCTCAAATTTTGCCCATTGAATTATCTTTGGTAGCTAGTAAATAAAACCACATTGGTTTCTGGAGATACATTAGAAAATTTTTTTATATGATATTCGATACGTTTTGTTCATCTTTTTCGTCACAAGACAGAATCGTTTGCCAGATTTTAGCCGTTTAAATTTTTTGAGAATCAATCGGTGTGTTCTAAAAGCTCAATCCTACTATCTTTCCTTTTCAAAATTGTTTCAATCTGAAATTTATGAGGCTACTAATGAAGAACGGTCGGAGTTTGTTCAACAGACTAATTTGCATAATTTTGCTGTCACGCTAGCAAAATTACCAAAAGTTTGAAGTCACTACGGCGAAGGAAATTAATAAGTGCAAGATGTTTTTACATTTCTATGCTTTCGAACATCTTATCAGAGGAAGTAAACCGGAGTTTTTAATGGTCCGTCTGGACTTAAGAAATATCACCCAAGAAAGAAAGAGTACTTTTGACCAATTTCAGAAAGCTATCTAACGAGTGTTTTTTAATAAATTATGGCAAACCTCTGTATAAACACATATCAGAATTGAAATACTTTCCAAACCCCTTAGACATCACACAATAGATAGGAACACAATCGATTTCTTGCTGCATGTAGTGTGTTATGAGGAGCGAGCTTGTCAACTTTTGAAAATTTTCGATGTCTCAAGAGGTCAAAAAAGGGCCTTTTGCAGCTTTGATTATTGAGAGCTCTCTTCAAGTTTTTTTAACGTATTTCAAGAAACCAACGTGGTTCTATTTACTACCTACCAAAGATATCTTAATGGGAAAAGTATGAGGCAAAACTTTTTCCAATGCGAGATGCCCTGGACCGCTCTTACAGAGATCGCTACTTAAGAAGTGGGGAGAAACACGAGACGTAGTTGTAAAGCCGCTTCCTGCTTGCTTTGCAACAGAACAGAGCAAAGTCAAGGTCTCTATTTGTTAATTAGAATGTTCAGGACTGTTACAAAATTTGCCAGAATGTTCCATGAGCCTGGTTTCATGAATGGTCCTTAAACCCAGCGCTTTATCCTCCCTCCTTTACCCTCTACTTTGTTTTATTGATTTTATAACTGATTGATTTGAAATTGATTTATCAATTAATTGATTAACGCCCTTTAAGGTTACTTCCCACCTTCAAAGGCCGAAAAAAAATTGTTTTTTCTTTTATTTGACTAAACGGAATTAAAACATTTTACCTGTCCAAGAAAAAAAATCCCCAAAAGCACCCGAGTTATTTAGAAAAACGTAATTTCAAATAAAAGTTAATAATCAGGAAGGTGTCATAATCTCGTACCTGGGCGAGTACCCTAAGGGAATTTCCGCGGCAACCGCTCATCTTGGGGCTCGTTTTGTCTACATCGCGCATTTGACAAAATTCACACGTGGAAGCTCTTTGCATAGATGTCGTAAATGATCTCGCGACAAACAATCACACTCTCGGCTGGAATTCTCTGGCGTCAGCTCTTAGCGTCTCTCCTCTCCTTCGTTCAGGTCTGTTGCAGGTTAATTCAAGAGGATAAAGCAGCTGCAGTGGTATCTCTATGAGTGTCTTCCCAGCTTATAGCTGCGCCCCTCTTATCATTCTATCCCGACCTTGAATCAGGTGTTCCACCACACCAATCTTCCATTTGCCTCTGTTACGCCCCTCTCCCTTGATAGGCATTACGTCTTCTTCTTTCAAGGTAGCTTCTTTCGTTTGATGGTTGAGACTGTGACGCTCTCTTAGGGCCTTTAGGTGCTTGATTGTCCATCTTTTCCATAGGACGTCCTTCCATTTCCGTAGGTACTTGGCGCGTTTTCTGAGGTAATAATTTCAACGTTGGTTGGTTCCTCTGAAGGAATTTGATTTGGCTGTCCAAATAGCATAGGGTTAGGGGTCAAAACTGCATTTAAATATCGTCTTCTATATAACCAAGAAGTTGTTGTTAAGGGTTGTCTCCACATCCAAGATGACCCCTTCCAATTCATGCCAGTGCAGGTGACCGTTTCCGATTGCTTCGTACATACTCTGCTTCATGATGCCAATCAATCTTTCGAACTGACCGTCCCATCATGGAGCTCTTTTGAGATTACACTGCCACTGGATGTTTTGCTTGGCTAGCCAGTCGAACTTTCTTTAGCTATTTGGATGCTGAAACGTAGGTTCTCCCATTATCGGAGAAGATTTTCTCTGGCCGCCCTCGTCTCGCCATGAAACGTTTCAGACTGCGCAACAAGTGTTCCGTTGTTTAAACTGGTAGTAGATCCAAATAGACGGCACGGGTTGAGCTGTATGCATGAAGTAGAATGCATGGCTTCATCTCGCTTTTATTCTTGCTGAAGTACTTGATGGGCCCAGCAAAGTCGACTCCGATTGACTTGAAGGGCACTGATCCTTCTGTTCTTTTCTTGGGTAGGTTTCCAGTCGGTGGGTTTGCTAGGGCGGTTACTTGAAAGCGTTTACACCCAGGGCACTCATTTATCACTCTCTTTGTAAGTCTTCTAAGGGGAGGTATCCAATATTTCTCTCGTATCTTCGCGATTGTCAAACTGACTCCCTCATGGAGAGTCTGAAGTTGGGCGCGCAATACCAACCTTTTGCTGAACAAAGCATCATCCGAAGGTAAATGGGGTAGTCTCCCTGGATAAGCCCTCTACATTCGTACAGTTTATCTGCGTTCTTCTGGAGATTTAGACGTTGCTGATCTTCCTGAAAACCGCTCGTATCTTGGCATCTGACATGTGTCCCTTTTTCCCAGAACTTCTTCAGCCTACTAGTTTCTTGAGTAGTGATTGGTCCGGTGATTCTTTGCTGGTGTTTGGCTCTGCAGTTTCGAATAAAGCGCGAAACCTACCACTCGTCTCGGATGGTTGTCCATAGGTCCCATTTCTGCATCAGCTCATCATGTCCTTCATTTGTTTCAATGGTGACTGCTAGTACTTCCCTGATGACTGTGGCCTCAGCTTGCGTCTCTCTGGTTTGACATGTCACATTATCTGGAGGCCACTGTTGCTGATGTGCTAACCATAGCGGTCTACCACAGGTCTGTTGTCTCGAATAAATGACCACCTCGGCTTCCGAGATCAGCAGGGTTGTCTGTCGTTCCAACGTTTCGCCAACGGATGTAATTCTTGTCCTGATCTTTCGAACTCTATTTCTCACAAATTGTTTGTAATTTCCACCCCCTTTAATCCATTGTCTGGCTACACTGCTGTCGAGCCAACCATACATGCTCCTGATTGTAAATCCTTGTAGAGCTTCCTTCAATTTGTCCTCAACATTGGTTGCCATGTACCCAGCGACTAACCCGAGCCTTAGTGTGGTTACACCTTTCTTCGTCAGTCTGCATGAAGGTCGATACTTAAGATTTCTTCCCGGTATTCGACAAGGCTTCTTTGGAATTCTACTTTTCTAGTCAGCATTCTTTCCCAGTTCTCCCACGTGTTCTTTACCTCTCTGGGAAGATCACGGTCCCAAGGTACTCGGGCGTCGCATATTTCTCTGTACAGCATCTTTCCAGCCAAGGTGACGGGTGAAGCTAATCCTAAATGGTCGTATATCTTAGATATCTTCCTGAGGATTTCGATCTTGGTTACTTTGACGATTGGGGCAGGAAAGGCAACTTTTATTGAGTCCACTGCTTTGTTCCACGGTGCGCCTAGCAGTTTGGTTTCCCACGTCTTTACACCCACATGGTACTTGGCGAAGATTTGACCTGTATCTAGCACAGTAGTTGGTTGTTGTCCCGCTGTTTCCTCCGCGGGCGTGGCAAGGCTGTGACTTGCTTCCTATTGAGTGGTTGAATTTTCTTCTGCCACTTTCTCTGAGGATGGTGGCTCTTCTAGGGATGGCAGATTTGAATGCCATTTGTGCAGCTGGAATCTCTCTTCTCTGAAAATAGCTTGGGCTGCTTTTTTCTCGACCACAGTTGTTACACCAGTAATCAGGTCGTCAACATGGAGGCTCCGTTTAACTTCTTCGACTTCGTTTGGGAAGTTCTGCTGAAGGTTTCGCAGGTGCTGATCTATAACTCCTCCAAGATGGAATGGTGATGTGGACAGCCCGAATAGTACTCGTGAGAATCTGAGTGACTCCGCATGCTTGGTCTCTTTGGGGGTGCCTTTGAACTTTGTAATAACCAATTTTGGCAGCTTGGCGTTGATGTTTTGATCTTTTTCTCGTCGATTTTCTTCTCATATTTAAGTTTCTGCTCTAGTTTGGTTTTCTAGAACTTCATATCATCGTCGAATTTCTTCTTTTTCTGTTTTTCGGCTCGCTTTTCTTCTTCCTTCGCTGTCGTTTCCATTTCGGCACTCCTTAATTCTTTAATCGCTAACTCGATGTCATTGATGGCTTTCTCAAATTCGCTCATTCTTTCTTCCAATTTGCGCGCTGCATTCTAAAATGTCCTCCTTATCTTCTTCGGCTTCAAAACTATTTTCTTGAATGTTTATCTTGAGGTTGTGAACTTCATCGACTTTCTTTTTCAACGTGTTACGCAATCTGTCCGCGGACGTGATGTTCTTCTTCTCAATCGCGGTGACCAATTGCCCCATCGTAATCTTGAGGATTTCTAGCTTCGCGTCCATTGCCTTAGATAGCCGTTCGCTTGTTTTGGTCATGATGCTTGGTTTGTCCTGGCGGGGTTGTCACTTTTGTCGTAAATGATCTCGCGACAAACAGTAACACTGGTTTCATGTACAGTAACTCCGATCTCACAATCAATCAACCCAAATCACCTATCATAATATATCTGCACTACGTCACGAACCAATCAACAAATGCAATGTAAAGCTTCGATCTCAAGCGAGTCCTACTTGAGAAATTTCCGCCTTCGCTGCAGGCGATTACACGATGTGAGATCAAGTATTCTGGCAAGATTACTGATTCTTTTGTCTGTTTACGTCTGCTAATGTTTCCATATAAGGTGATTCGAAACAAGTTTAAGTTGATTCGATACATTCATTAAGTCTAATATTTTGCCCCCCGAAGGAATTTTTTTGTCGCATTGCTGCGATTATTTGTTCCCCGAAGGGAGTTTGCGTCTCCCGAAGGAGGTTTTGTGTCGCATTGCTGCGATTATTTGCTCCCCGAAGGAAATTACCGCTGTCTCGAAAGACAAGTTTTGCTCTTCAAAGGGAATTCTTCGACGCTCTAAAAGCGTTCTTGTTCGCCACACGGTGTGCAATGAGCCATCGCAAGTACTAGGAAGCACGAAAAGTCCAACTGTCATGGACGCTAAACAAACACTTAATGCCAAACATTCAACGGCGAGAAAAAATCCCAAGAACGTCAAAGAACTTTAAAGATACCTGATGAAAAAACACTTGACACATTACTTGAAAGCTGTCTGATTTTTGGAGGAAAAAAGAATAAATAGACGGCAAATACTGTGTAATAAATTACCTCCAACAAATAGCAGTGGCGATCGAAAGTGAACGACTTGACACCGAAAAACAGTCGATAATTTGTCCATCCTGTCGAAGTGTACCGGTAACATCCGAAAGATCACGATCGCCGACGCCGGATAAGAGACTCGGACGATATCGGAGAATACCAAACTGAATTCCGAGCATTATCCGAAGATTTCTATCGTTACGGACGGACGGACGGACTTACACGCTGGATAGCATAGTATCAACGACTTCACAGAAGCCCGTAGATACAATAGAGAAGAACACAATTTTGTTGTTGAAGCGAATACTTCTTCCACAGCGGAAACCTCTTCTGAGGTGAAAATCAGCTTCTCGTTCCAAACATGGAATGTCACCATCATCACTCGGGGAATTGTACTCAAATATTCCATCTTCCTCTTCGTCTTGTTTTCCGCTGTTTTCTTGCTGCTCCTCGAAGTCAGAGCGTTCGAGGCTCAACGGTTCGCTGGGCTGAATTAGTCTCTGATAGAGGTACGACGGGGGAATTCTACCTCTTGCCACCGTTGTTTATGCCCAGTCCCTCATCTTCTGTATGCTCTATGGTGCTATCGATACTGGTAGTATAACGGTTGACTGTTGCTGGTATCGCCGACAGGATCATGGAACATTCGGGTACAGGATACCAAGAATTTGGATTTGTAAAATGGTATACCGCCCAATGGGTTGTCCTCTTTAAGCTTTCTTTGGTTGCATTTCCAAAGTTTCTTGGGTAATCTAGCACCGTGAAAAGTTTATCTTTGTGATGCACAACCGAGTAAATATTCTTCACATCTGGTGTCATTCAACTCAGCACGTTCAGAGCGTCATATCGGTATAATTCTGAGGCTTGCTGGGGGTTTTCAAGGCCGTTATGCATTTCAATTGACGCAGCAGTCTTAGATGCCACTTTACCTTGTGAGCCATTGAGGGTTTTTGGTAAATTGGCAACTTCGCTTCTAATATAATTGTCATTCCCGCGCAATAACTAAGGAGTGTCGCTGAACAGCTCGACTGCCTCTTAGATGCTAGATAGCCTCCACGCCTAGTGCTTTTCATGGACTGAGAAGATCGGTTTCTTCATAAATTCTCGACGTCGGACATTCTAGTTCTCAGTTCGTTTAGTGATTATTTCCCGAATCCCACTCCTCAAAATCGCCGATTCCCGTGTCGCGTTCATGATAGTAATCCTGCATCTCGCTTCACTCTTACTTTCAATTCCCGGATCCCGGCCTTTAAACAAGCTCAATCCCGGATCACGAAAAACCTATTCGGGACCCTCTCATTATGGGGTGTAACTAGAGAATTCGAAAACTCTTCTTCCTCACAAGATTAAAGGAATGTTCGGTCGTGTTACGTAGCTCATTTATACCTCGTTGATACCAAAAGATGAGCTGTCTGGTTACAGTCTGTTAAAAAGCAATACAATCATCACTCAAACTATCATCGATTATTTGGTGTTCCAGCCGCTGTCCCAGGTACCTTGTTGTTGCTGGTTAGCACCTCGATTAGAACAGTCTCTAATGTTAGCCAGACTCGACTGAATACGAGCACTTTTGTGTCTTGTATTTCTATTTTAAACAAGTACCTGTCCATTTATTGATTCCGTAATCTGTCTGCCTTGTTATGGAAGTCAGATAAGTGCACCATTCACAAATTTATATATTCTGATCTAACAATTTCAAGAGAGTATCGATGTTCAATAAGTAATGCTTTCTCTCGAAGATTGATATTTTCTTTCAATAACACATTTACATTCAACTTTATACATGCTTAATGTTTGAAACAAAAATATTTTCACTCAACTCCAAAAATATATGTTCAAATTTAACCTTGTTCAGTTTGATTTTAATAAAGTTCGGATATAACGTGTGCTTTCATTGGTTGAAAAAGCGTCTTCCATAAGAGTACCAAGCACGGAGCGGAACTATAAGTGTTCTCCCATCAACCGTTCAAGAGGGTTCCATAAAGGCGACTAGCAATTAAAAATTCTCCTTCCGTATAGATAACAAAATGATTTCTAGTGCAGTTTGGTGTAAGAGCACGAGTTGATTTTTCAAAGACAAAAAAATTGCACGAGCCCCTTCTTCTCTTGACGGCCTCCGGCCAAAAGTAATTTCGTAAAAAACGTTTAAAACGGTTCAAGAAGGGGAAAAAAAATGGCACAAATGCATCGATTAACATTTCAATTAACTTCATTGAGATATTAATACCGAGATGCAATTTAGATATGCAATTTTCAGGGCTTTATTCATAACCCTCATAGACTTTGTTCGTCATGTCAACAATAATTAACCACGAATACACGGTGTGGTCTGCCTGTGGTGTTACAACTTTGCACTCGTGTTACATAACAAATGCAATTGTTTTCAGCCAATCAGACGCGCGTTATTTTTCACGTATATCATTATTCTAGTATTAGTGTGGGTGTGTTACCAACTAGAAATTCCTTTGTCAATTGCTCACTGATGAAACATACTTACCTTTCGCTGACCCAATATATCAGTTAAGCTTGCCAGCGTTCACCCAAAAATACAAGAGAAAACCTAGCAGTTACAGAGAGGTGTCAGAGCAGCGTAGCTTTAGTTTATTTAATTTTATACAATTTTATCGGTAAGCTGTTGAAAGCATTGATTCAGTTTGTTGTTACGGTGTAATCTAACCGACAGAAAAACACTTCAATCCCTCAAACTCAACTACATTTTTAAACAGGGAGAAATGTTCTTAGGAAGGAGCAACTCCTAAAAGCTGCACAATACTTATCGCTAATGAACTTAATATGCCCACCAAAGTCTATATCTCAGCTCTCCACTGACACAATCTCACTGCTGTCTCCAAAGTTCTTTGAAATAAGCGGCCATCCGCAGTGATTCTCTCTCTCGGTATAGCTTTCTAAACATTCGTCGCTCCGACAACAACAACAACTACTCCTACTACTACATAAGTGAGTCTATATATATATATATATATATATATATATTTACAAAGTGTTCTGGAACATTCCAACAGCTAACATACGAACTATTTTAGAAGCATTACATAATAAATACGTGACTTAATGAAATGTTTCGGAAAGTTCTATGTTATGCAACTCAGTCAGCATGAGTCAGCAGTCAAGAAATCTCTGGAAGTTTTACATTTACAATAATTAATCATAACATCGTAATCTGATGATAAATAAACAAGGCAGTTAACTACGTGCATTTCAATCTAAAGAAGCTGTCCAGTTCATAGTAAAAGAAAACATTTACTCAATTACATCCAGAATGCGGTAAAACGGCGACAACCTAACTAATCGATTTATTTATTTGACAGAGGTAATTTTGTGTGATGTACTCTATGAGAGGAAGAAACCGGGAAAGAAAAAAATAAAAGGCTCGCAAAGAGAGTACAGGCATAGGACTTATTATGCGGAAAGGCGCAATTTAGTGGTTCAATAACGAGGCCTTTTTTATTTTCATGTGTGTTAATAATCAGTCTCTTGTAAGAGAGCTAGTACATGCTATATATATACACCTGTTTTCAGAAGCGTTGCAATTCAAAGAAAAAATGAAATATATACACCTTTTGTTTTCTCATCAAAAAGGGTTTCTTTTTGATGAGAAAATAAAAGGTATATATATTTCATGTATTTTTCCCTTTGCAACGTGTCTGTATATATTTATCATATAAACTATGGTGTTATACAAGGATTTCCAGCCCTGACAAAAGCCGCGTGTTCGATATTGTCAATTAACTACTGACACGTCACTCGCCTTTGGCGCCACTCGGTCAGGTTAATAAATGAACGGCAAAGCCTTGACTATTCTCAATCCAGGGTCGTTTGTCTGAATCTTTTCGGATAATGGCTGCTAAAACACTGAAAATCTGTATCGCTTACAGACAGTGACGTTCAACTTTCCTAGTCGGGGAAGAAAACCAAAATACCAAAAGAAAAAACCAAAAGTTCTGTATTCAGTGGCTTTGGTAACGGCATTTCTCGCGGCTGAGAATGAAAATCGACAACTGGAAGATTTGCCACAGGCCGATTTTGGCCGTTTACCTGAACAACTACTCCTTTTGTCAAAGATTTCTTCTGTCGGTAAAGACCAAGTCAATAACTGAGAATTTTTATCTTGGAAATTACGCCAATTGTTTGTTTTTATAGTGTTTCAATACATTTTTTATCTTGAGTCTTCGCGCCAACGCACTTTACGATTTTTATTTGGGGATTGTCGACCCTTTTATTTTCCTTCATTAATTAACTTAACTCTTCCTGTTATTAAAGAGGTATTGTGTTTATGTGATAAACGAAATAATATATGGTTAGTTGTAGATATGATATTTCCCCTATCGTGTTCAATTTGACATCTCACTCGTGAGCAATCGAGTCAACCACTCGAAGGTAATTTCCATATCTACGCGCGCCCATGTATTATTCTCTCTATATATATTATAGCACTAAACTCTTGCAGCTGAATTAATGGTCATCAATGTCTTTATGGCTTCCCACATTTGTCAATTTTCTTGTCATATTTACAATTTTAGGACTAGTATTTACGACATGGCAGAAAAAGCCCTACGATCAACAAGTCCTAAAGCAAATTTTCATCGCCTGACACGGCTGCTGATGCGTGGAGGTGTGCAGCTTTTGCGAGAGACATTAGACACCATTCACTCACCAGCTGATCTCCCTTTGAGACTCGCTGATCCTGTCATACAGGCACAGCTGAGAGGAGCACGACTTACCCGACCAGAGAGGGATTGTCTGTACCCATCCCCAGGGGTGTATGGCAAGTCCAACGATTTTGACATCACATTAATCTTCAAGTTATTCAGAACAATTTGCGGCCTGACCCCTCCCCCTGGACCGGGAAGATGGGATGATTTACCAAACGGCTCAGACCACACTCGGGTGGCAGATTTAGTACGAATAAAATATTATCGAAATGAGATTTATGGTCACCGTCCCACTATGGAAATATCTGACGGCGATTTTATTCGTCTTTGGAGGGAAATTAGTGAGGCTTTGTTAAGAATTGCGAACAACATTAGTCCTACAAAGAGAGAGGAGTGGGAAAAGTCTATTCATGATCTTCTTCGTAATCCTTTGACGCCAGATGAGGAAAGATGCATTGAAGAGCTAGAGACCTGGTATAAGCAAGATATGGATGTTAAAAGTAAATTGGTGGATGTTAAAGATGAATTGGTGGATGTTAAAGATGAAGTGGTAAAGCTGAAAGAGGAGCTGAGAGAGGGGCTGAGAGAGGAGCTGAGAGAGGGGCTGAAAGAGGAGCTGAGAGAGGGGCTGAAAGAGGAGCTGAGAGAGGGGCTGAGAGAGGAGCTGAGGCCTCTAAAAGCTGCGCTCGTAGGTCAGTAAAAGGGTAAATTTAAGTCCCCATCAGACAAAAATAAGAAAACCTTATCTTCAGTTCCCTTTAATGTTAATCCAATGTTGCCATTTTTCCCGAAGATCCTCATTTAATTACTTTGACTTTGCATATTTGCTTTAAAAATAAATTTACAAAACACCAATAGTGCTCTTTTTTTAGTTCAAATGCAGGTTAATATTTCTCTTGTTTTTCTATCAGTCATACAGATGGACGTAGCTGGATATCATCAAGCCGCTGGGTCCGAACCGATGTTCCTTGTACCTAATCCATTATTACCTGAGCCGGAACAAGCAGCGAGAGCTGATGACCCTGAACCAAATAATCCACCAGAAATAAATTTTTGGAACGTAATTTTATCATTTAAAGAATCAGCTGATTTATTACTACGGTACTTAAAGTGTAAACTTCATCTTCGAGTGCGTAACAGCGAGGTGGGGAGCTGGCACATTACAGTTGAATGCAGTTCACTGCAAGTCCTTGAAGGATTGTGGGAAGATTATCGCAGTGGTCATCTTAATTCAGTCGCCCAGGAAATGCTAATAACGCCACAAGTTTTAGAGAAACTTGGTCTTACTGAGCTCAAGCTGAAGACCTTTATTTCGGAGGATCAGTATGAGAAAGAGAAAAAGCTGTTACAGGCGAGCTCAGGTGATTATTGCGAGTTTACCAACATTTAAGTCTAAGCGATTTTTACAGTTTTTAGTGATTCGTCACAATAAGGCACACTTTACCAAAAAAGGAAACGTGGACAATGAAATGCAAATAATTAAGCTCAGTTATGTATTTTTCACTATCTAGAGCCAGCCAAGGGTCTTGATGGTCTTTGATTAGCTGCAGTAATTAATGAGTGTAGTGAACTTTGGGTGAAATAAGAAAATAAAGGCAGGTGAAGAATTAGACCCGAAACTGAATCCAACCAAAAAAATAGTTTTGACTACTTTTCCATGTGAATTGTTTGACTTATTTTCCCATTTCTTTAATTATCAAAAGGAGCGGAAGACAAGAGCGAAATTCATAGCGCCTTGCAAGCTACAATCACAAAGGCTATTTCTGAGGGATTTATCGAGCCAGCTAACGTAACGTTATTTAACATGATGCCCTGTATCCAGTCAGCTCAAAGATGGTTAAATTCTTACGAGGCAATAATTTTGTGGATTTGCATGGCACCGATGCTCAGGCCTCAAGAGAGAGCAGCTAGAGCCCTTCATTGTTTAGATACTCTCCGCATTACGTTATAATTTATGTATAGTCTGGGAGATGTTAATTTACAGCAATCATAACAATCTTTTTGAAACGCAATTCTGGCTCTGGGCGGTCACTCGAGCAAATAAACCTACATTTCATAGCTTTTTATATGAGGTGATTGTTCTAGGAAGCCAAAAAAATGTGAAAAACTTTCGAGAGTTTTTGTAGGAATGGAAAATTTCAAATTAAAAAACTGAGCTACTATTCCAAAATTAAACCAAAATAGTGTTGTCGTTGTCACTTACCGCCATCAAACATTTCCATGCAGAGCCCTGTGGCGTGATCCGAGTACCTTTTTTAAGAATTATTTATGGGCGTCGTTCATACTGTCTGCTACATAACAATTTCAGGATATTCTGCAGATCAGATTTCTGAAGCTACTAATAAAGAACGGTTGGAGTTTGCTCAACAGATAATTTGCATAATTCTGCTGTCAGGCTAGCAAAATCACCAAAAGTTTGAAGTCACTACGGCAAAGGAAATTAATGAGTGCCAGATGTTTCTACATTTCTATGCTTTCGAACATCTCATTAGAGGAAATCAACCGGAGTTTTTAATGGTCCGGTCTGGACTTGAGAAATATCACCCAAGAAAGAAAGTGCACTTTTGACCAACTTCAGAAAGCTGTCTAACTTTCCAGAAACTAATGTGGTTCTATATACTAACTACCAAAGATAGTTTAATGAGCAAAGTTTGAAATAAAACGTTTTTCAGATGCGAAATGCTGTGGACCGCTCTTACAGAGATCGCTACTCGCTACTCGACTACGTTTCGTGTTTCTCCCTACATTTCTTTCGTGCCTAAGCCGCTTCTTGCGTGCTTTACAACAGAACAGAGCACAGCTAAGGCTTCTCTATTTGTTAATTAGAATGTTCAGGAATGTTACGGAATTTGCCAGAAGGTTCCATGGGCCTGGTTTTATCATTGGTCCTTAAACCCAACGCTTTATTCGCTCTCCTTTACTCTCTACTTCGTTTTATTAATTTTATGACTGATTGATTTGGAATTGATTTAGCAATTAATTAATCAAAGCCCTCTAAGGTTACTTCCCACCTTCAGAGGCCGAAAAAATCGTTTTTTCTTTTACTTGACTTAACTGAATTCAAACATTTTACCTGTCCAGAAAAAATGTTTTACAATCTCCAGAAGCACCCGAGTTATTCAGAAAAGCGTAATTTCAACTAAAAGTTGATAAATCGGAAAGATGGGAAGATGTCAAAATCTCGTACTTGGGCGAATTCCCTGAGGGAATTTCCGCGTCCACCGTTCATCTCGGGGCTCGTTTTTCATGTATTTGCATATTTTGTTTATATTGCGCATTCGACAAAATTCACACGAGGAAGCTCTATGTGTCGTAAATGATCTCGCGACAAACAGTCCACTATTTTTATTCCCCTACTCACTAGTAACTCCGATCTCACAATCAATCAACCATCTGAAATCATCTGCTGTGGCTCTTCTCGGCTGGAATTCTCTGGCGTCAGCTCTTAGCGTCTCTCCTATTCTTTGTTCAGGTCTGTTTCAGGTTAATACAGCAGCTGCAGTGGTCTCTCTATGTGCGTCTTCCCAGCGCTAAGCTGCGCCCCTCTTATCACTCCATTTCGACCTTGAATCAGGTGTTCCACTACACCAATCTTCCATTCGCCTCTGTTACGCTCCTCTCCCTTGATAAGCATCACGTCTTCTTACTTCAAGGTAGCTTCTTTCGTTTGATGATTGAAATTGTGACGCTCTCTTCTAGCCTTTAGGTACTCGATTGTCCATCTTTTCCATAGGACGTCCTTACATTTCCGTAGGTATTTGGCGCGTTTTCTGAGATCTTAATCTTCAACGTTGGTTGATTCTTCTTCAGGAATTTGATTTGGCTGTCCAAACAGTATAAGGGTTGGGGGTCAAAACTGGCATTTAAATATCGTCTTATACATAACCAAGAAGTCTGTTGTTAAGGGTTTTCTCCACATCCAAGATGACCTCTTCCAATTCATACCAGCGCAGTTGACCGTTTCCAATTGCTTTGTACATACTCTGCTTCATGATGCCAATCAATTTTTCGAACTGACCCGCCATGAAGCTCTACTGAGATTAAACTGCCACTGGATGTTTTGCTTGGCCAGCCAGTCGTTCATCTTCTCAGCTTGTTGAACTTTCTTTAGCTATTTGGATGCTGAAACGTAGGTTCTCCCATTATCGGAGAAGGTTTTTCTCTGGACGTCCTCGTCTCGCCACGAAGTTTTAGACTGCGAAACAAGTGTTCCGTTGTTTGATCTGGTAGTAGATTCAAATAGACGGCACGGGTTGAGCTGCATGCATATAGTAGAATGTATGCCTTCATCTCGCTTTTATTCTTGCTGAAGTACTTGATAGGCCCAGCAAAGTCGACTCCAATTGACTTGAAGGGTACTGATCCTTCTGTTCTTTCCTTGGGTAGGTTTCCAGTCGGTGGGTTTGCTAAGGCGGTTACTTGAAAGCGTTTACACCCAAGGCACTCATTTATCACTCCCTTTGTTAGTCTTCTAAGGCGAGGTATCTGATCTTTCTGTCGTATCTTCGCCATTGTCAAACTGACTCCCTCATGAAGAGTCTGAAGGTGGGCGTACAATACCAGCCTTTTGCTGAACAAAGCATTATCTGGAAGGTAAATGGGGTAGTCTCCCTGGATACGCCCTCTGCATTCGTACAGTCCATCTGCGTTCTTCTGGAGATTGAAACGTTGCTGATCTTCTTGAAAACCGCTCGTACCCTGGCATCTGACCTGTGTCCCTTTATCCCAGAGCTTCATCTGCCTACTAGTGTTTGGCTCTGCAGTTTCAAATAAAGCGCGAAACCCACCACTGGTCCCGGATGGTTGTCCATAGGTCCCCCTTCTGCATTAGCTCATCATGTCCGTTATTTGTTTCAGTGGTGACTGCTAGTACTTCCTTGATGACTGTGGCCTCAGCTTGCGTCTCTCTGGTCGGACTTGTCACATTATCTGGAGGCCACTGTTGTTGATGTGCTAACCATAGAGGTCCACGCCAGCACAGGTCTGTTGTCTCAAATAACTGACCACCTCGGCTTCCGAGATCGGCAGGGTTGTCCGTCGTTCCGACGTGTCGCCAACGGATGTAATTCTTGTCCTAGATCTTCGAAACTCGATTTACCGCAAATTGCTTGTAATTTCCACCCCCTTTGATCCAATGTAGGGCTACACTGCTGTCGAGCCAACCATACACGCTCCTAATTGAGAATCCTTGTAGGGCTTCCTTCACGTTTCCACAAGGTTGGTTGCCATGTGCCCAGCGGCTAACTCGAACCTTGGTGTGGTTAAATCTTTCTTTGCCAGTCTGGACTTTGAGGTTACCAGACCGTGGGTGATGCCAGACGATTTGTGTGTGACTGCATACACGGCTGCTGAATTGTCTTTGCTACCAGCATCTCCAAAAGCGTGAGGGTCGATACTTAAGATTTCTTCTCGGTACTCGACAAGGCTTCTTCGGACTTCTACTTTTCCAGTCGGCAATCTTTCCCAGCTCTCCCACGCGTTCTTAAGCTCTCTGGGAAGATCAAAGTCCCAAGGTACTCGGGCGTCGCATGTTTCTCTGTACAGCATCTTTCCAGCCAAAGTGACGGGTGATGCTAATCGTAAAAGGTCGTAAGTCTTAGATATCTTCCTGAGGATTTCTCTCTTGGTTACTTTGACGATTGGGGCGGGAAAGGCGACTTCTATTGTGTCCAATGTTTTGTTCCACGGTACGCGCCTAGCAGTTTGGTCTCCCCCGTCTTTATACCCATATGATACTTGGCGAAGCTTTGCCTTGTATCTAGCACAGTAGTTAGTTGTTGTCCTGCTGTTTCCTCCGCGGGCGTGGCAAAGCTGTGACTTGCCTCCTGTTGAGTGGTTGAATGTTCTTCTGCCGCTTTCTCTGAGTATGGTGGCTCGTCCATGGATGACACATTTGAATGCCATTAATGCAGCTGCAGTTGTTTCACCAGTTATATGAAGAGCTTCTCAAACTTAACATCTGTGCGGTGGATAAACCAGGTCAACTTAGTTTTCTGTTCGACAAAATAAGTGTTAACATTAGGGGACTTGAAGCTCTGGGATTCAAGTTCGAGCAGTACGGTAGTTTGCTCATTCCAATTATTATGGCCAAACTCGAGTGACAAGAAATACGTCTCAAGACGTTGGGGAGATCGACTCCTTGCTCGATCCTATACGAAAGCCACGACCGAGCAAGTTAAGGGTCCACCGACCTCAAAACCCCCGCTACCGACAGCTGGAATGTTTTTTGGTGCTACTTCAAACACACAGTCAACTATTCCAAAATGTGCCCATTGCACTGAAAGACATTCCTCAGCGTCTTGCCACAAGGTAACAGATATCAGTGCCAGGAGAGACAATCTTAGACGCGAGAAAAGGTGTTTTATGTGTTAGAAGAAGGGACATTTAGTCGATCAGTGGGACAAGAGTTGTATAAATTGCAAGCGAAGACATCATCAATCGATCTGTCAAGCACAATCACCCGGTGAAACACTGAATTGTCATCTGCCACCTCCCGAGGAAAAACTGCCTCAAGGCGAACCGGAGACTCAAGTCCCAAATAGCGAAACGAGAGTCAGTACAACTAATACAGAAACCCCAACAACTCAACGAACAACTTCGACGTCGAGTAGCAAGGAGAGTGTTTTGTGAATGAATGAATGAATGAAGATCAGAACAAATCGATGACGGTGCGTATTCTGTTCGACGGCGGCAGTCAGAGATCTTACATTACCGGCAATGTAAGCAGGAAGTTAGGTCTGAAGTCAGCGAACACCGAAACCTTGCATCTAAATACGTTCGGAAAAATTACTCATCGAAAACAAAGGTGTGAAGTCGTCAGTTTGCCGATTTGGACCAACGACGATGAATATGTTAGAGTGCTCAAGTTCCCGATGATTTGCTCACCGCTGACTGAAAGAGCGCACCTACAACATCATCTGCATTTACAAGAATTAGAGCTAGCTGACAGTGCTCAGAGTCTAAATTCAATCGACATCTTGAGTAGTTCAGATCATTACTGGGACTTTGTTACAAGCGAATCTATTCGAGGAGATCTTGGTCCCACCGCCGTCAAAAGTAAGCTGGGATGGCTTCTTTCTGGTCCCACTAATAATTCACAAAACAAAACAAATGTCGTTTCTGATTTGGTCATAACGGGCGAGTCTTTTTCGAACGGTGCAAAGGAAAGCGACGAGATGGCGGACATGCTGGAAAGACTCTGGGACGTTGAAGGCCTAGGAATAGTGGAAACCAACTACGAAAGCGAATTAGTCAAACGAAAGGGAGACATTACGTTCAATTATGAAGTCGAACTGCCTTGGAGGGGTGACTACTTACCCCAATCTAACAATTATGAAATGTGTGTAACGGTCATTGCATTCAAAATCGAAGAGGGAGCCGAATTTGCTGAAGGAAGAAAAAGAAAGAAAGGGATCGTCGAAAACAGTGCCGGAGACCGAAGATCAAACGCTCGATAAAAGCAGACTTAACACAAACGAATTCACTACTCGCCACATCACACAGTTGTGCGAAGAGATCGCGAGACGACAAAGGTCGGAATTGTTTTTAGTCAGGTTGTCAACACAGAGGCTCCGTTTAACTTCTTCGACTTCGTTTGGGAAGTTCTACTGAAGGTTTCGCAGGTGCTGATCTATAACTCCTCCAAGATTGAATGGTGATGTGGACAGCCCGAATA